TTATGGAATTATCATCTTTTAAATCATTTAAAACTATACACAAAATTTTCGTTGCGTTGGGATGTGTTATTCTCGCTAATTTTCTGTTATGTAGTTTCTTCTTTCCTAGGCAAAGGCTGAGGGTTTTCATTTTATTAAATTGTTTCATTAATAAATACTACTAATATTAAGTAAACTTCTTACCTAGGAGACGGATAAATTAGAGCAATACAAATTCATTGTTACACATAAAGTATGGTACAAATAGTTCAGGAGGAATCGGTGCATGAGTACCGAAAACTATGCCACCTACAATTTTGAATGCGATTCTCTTCAAATAGTCCTGCTGATGATATAAATGCATGTTGCCATGGGGCAACTCGGTGCCATATTGTTTAAATTGATTTTTTTTCAACAGCAAGGAATTGTCAAACGGGACAATTTTTGTTGGTATTTTGTTATGTAATACGTACGTGTATATGTTACGAATAAAAAGGTTCTATAACTTTTTACGATAAAATTAATATTTTCGGAGTTATGAACTTTCAAAGTTTTAAAAATCCCAAATTCGTATACTTACGACTCATTAAGAATATATTAAGAAAAAGAATAAAGCCTCCTAGACAAACATGATTTCAATTCGTTATTTTTGATTAATAATAATAATAAATTTTATTGCCTCTGAAACACACAGTTACATTCACGTTAAAACCTAAGAACATTATAATTATTTGAGACAAAAGGAGACAGCTCAGCTTTGTCTGTAACGAGATACAGATCTCATACAGAGCTGTTTTTCAGCCGCTCCCTCCTCCCTGAGGTGTTGTGTTGTGTGAGTCTGTTGTGTGAGGTGGTGATTAAACCTTACATTTAAAACAAATTTAAAAAATGTCTATGCTATAGGCTGCTTATTCGTTATTCCATACACCCTACTTTTTTCCTCACGGTAAATAAAATTCAGCTGGTATATACAAATGTACTTTGAAAAGGAAGAAACAATTCTCAGATGCATCTCATGTCTATTTGTAGATTCATGCTTCGACAACACGCAACTGCGTGAAACTGCTAACGAGATGGAAGGCTTGCTGGGCACTTTGATACGCGGTGTGGAGCAGAGAGCCACGCTTAATGCTGCTAAAGGACTAGTGTAGCTAAGCATAATATAATTGAGCTGGTAATTAGTACTTACTGTATTGACTTAAAATCTATTATAATATATGCATATATATGTATATAATTTTATAATAATATAAACTTTAATAATGCATACGAAGGAGTTGTGTTGAGTTGATGAAGTACTTTTAAGTGACTTATAAGAATGTTGTAAACATTTACAATGGTACAAATAAATAATACTCCTTTAAAGACTAAAAGATAGCACCATAGATTAAATTTAAAAGTTCAAAGGCGATATATTTCCAATGTCAGTTGCCAACAAGATTTAGTTTGAAACTATAATCTGTTTAAATAAAAACTAAACAAACTTAAAAATAAACATATTCATTATGTAATTAATTGTCTATTGAAATGGTTTTGGAGACATTTATAAATTTATACTTTGTTAGACTTTGTCGTAATTGCTTCAACTGGTGTGGTAACTTATTGGTAACTTAATCATTTTTATAGGAAAATCTCACTTTATGATCTCAGTTTTCAGGTTTTGGTTACTTTCAACAATCAATTGTAACTTTATGTTAGTGATGAAATTTTATAGACTTTTTCATGGTTGTGTTAGAATAAGTTTTTTTTCCAAAATTAGCGTGCGTTTAACAAATTATTTCTCATAAGATGCGAAATGTATTCACTGTTATTAAATATTGACTTCGTTTTATGCTTAAATGCTTTTGAAAACTTTTAAAGTTTAACTAATAATACATTTTTTCTTGATACTTCTTTTACTTTAAAATTTTCCACATTATATCTCACTTTTAGTTCGTATGTTTCCCTAAGTTCACTCTTTTTCCTCTAAGTACATCCACAGTGCTTCTATAGTTTACGTAATGTATATTATTTTAGGAAAACTAATACTCACCCTTATAATTAATTTTCATTTATGTTGAATGTCTCGGTAAGAGAAATTTTCTTATTCTGGATTTAGAAATGTTTCTCGCCCTAAGGAAAATTATTAGTCCATTATTTCGTGTGATGAATATGCAACAAACAAGTTGTGTTAAATTGATATATGTTGAGTCCATATGTCAGCAGATATCCCTTGGGTGTCATAAGAGGGAATACAGAGGGAAACTGCGTCAGGAGATGGGCAGTAGCATCTTCCCGAGAATAAAACGGAGCATTTAAAATACTGTGGTTGTCAACCCGTCTGTCGAGCTGTAAACTGTAGTTTAAACTATACCAGATATCCCCACAATGAGCATAATAGAAAACTGTTAAATTAACGAAATCACCGATAACTTACATGACTGTCATGTGACTTAGCGTTGAGATGTGTTATTCTCATTAACTTTTATAGTTTCCCATAAAGCTGTAACAAATGTGAAACTTTGCTAACCCCACTGTAGGGAAGAGATGTCTATCGCTACGGCCTATTCAAGTCCACTACTGAACATAATCCTTCCCAATAGATTGTATCATAGGGGGATATGTATTAAGTTCATTTTAAATATGTATAGGTTACGGTGCAAGGTGACAATAAATTCCAGTCAAAATATTGAACTGTTATTTTTATCAGCTGCATTAAACATTTTTTGTGTTTAGTGTGTATTTTATTATATAATTATATAAAATTGAAGTACTTAATGTGGACAATTCATTGTAATTTTTGAAATAATAAATGTTACGTAATATATAATTTGCCGAAAATTAACAGTTCCTATAATGTTGATGATATATCCTGTGCGTTACTGTAGCTGTTACGTTTTGTAGATTTGACGACTTAATCACATATAATCTGTTACAATTTAGTTGCAATACTAATTTATGTAATTTTTTGTGTGCATCGATTAAAATATTGCGATTGCAACTAGGACAGTCTCATGCTTTAAGCATTGAATAAGAATATAAGGAAATTTATGCCGTCCCATATGACAAGGTGCTTAGTAAAATGTTTACTTGTATTAAGATCTGATAAGCAAATAAACAATAAGGATTTAGAAAGTAACATGCCATATATTTTATAAAAATTTACATATTGCGGTGTACATTAAGTTAAACATATTGATTATAAATTAATAATAAATTTAAATTGTTACGATAATAGTTTTTTAATATAATTAATAAATCGCCATATTTCAATTTTCATATCTATATAAAAATGTAAAAAGTACATGAAATAAAGCAATTTATTTTGACCTTTTACGGTTTAAGCGTATATAAATGTGCCTTAGGTTAATATTGTTTTATATACTAACGAAAATATAATATGTGAAATAATAACTAAATTTTAGATTAAATTAATATTTTTACAATATTTTATATTAAAATATAAAATCTTAGCGATATAAGCAATTACATTGCTTTAGCACAACCTCCGTACTTAGAGTAAAATGTTATCTAAATATGATATAACCAATTATTTTAATTAACAATAATTGTCAATGTATAGGTTTTATTTCAATATATTCTTAATAAATGAAATAATATCAGTGGACGGATTTTATTTCTTAATATATTACTATTATCTACATTTGGATTTAAATTTTCATATAAAATGTAAAGTAATATTAAACTCTAAATATTTCATATTTCCACTTAGTAGTGTTATAAGTGTATTCAATTTTTAATGAACCAGTCGAAAGATATATATTTGGTAAGTAGATATACTATTATTATAATATACAGAGGATCCCTGAAGCAACAACTACTTATTCCGGTTACCCATATTAATAGACAAATTCCTCTCTTTTTGCTATTTTATATTATAAATATTATTTTTCATATTTAAATATTCTGTAGTATGTATTTATAAATAACAGTAGTGTAACATATTGCATTTCGTTGCATATTTGTGGATTAAGTCCCGTGGATTTAATCATGGATTAAAGACCGTGTATTAAATTCAAAATAGTTTTAAGTAATATTACTTATTATTCACAGTCCCAAAGGACATTATGAAATGGATTTTCTTATAAAATATGTTGTTAAATATTATAAGGAAGTAAATTTCTTTTAATACGTAATATGACTTAACGAATTTCATAAAAAATATTAATTTAAACTGAACCAACTTGGCTATGTAATGGCAGTGCTAAATTATAATTTTTTCTCTAACGTGAACCTTTTTTGTGAACAGATAAAATAAAAAGGAGAGACAATTTTGCACCAGGCCATTAGCACGGAACTACACAGCTACACGAGCTATGAGCGCGGACGCGGGACAATTAATTTTTTACACATTATTTTTTCCTTCGAATATGTATAGTTCTGGTATCAGTTACCGTTTACTAAACAAACAACAAACTAATCTGACGGCGGGGTTTCCTGCTAGTCGACTCGGGTTTAGAGAAAGTTTCAACCTGAGACTAATAATTATAAACTACTTTAAATCACACCGCTGCGCTGGCTATATCATATTATATGAACACGGAGCCTCGACACTTATTTCGCATGGGAGACTATAAGAATTCATGTACGGCTGAGTTTCTTCCAAGATGCCTTTAGCATGCAATATGCTCAGCGAGTGTAGTGTGAACTGCTTCATATAATATCAGTACTTGTATTAATTCCGTGCCTCGTTCGTGGCATGTGTCGGACTCTGATTTCAAGCATAACTCATCTTTAAGACTGCACAATTGCATTGAAAACTAGCGATGCGTAGCTGGCCATTTATACTTCGGATAGACTCGTTTCTTCTGGGTTTACGTAAAAGCTCTACAAAGAGAACGAATCGAAGCTATTTACCGCCCAACAAATATCTTCATCTACCTAAGAAGATTTGGAGTTGATATATTCAATTTATTCGTATATTTATCCGTATATATACGCAGCTAAACTCAAACTTGATATGCGTATTATTTTACTGTTGTTCATAAGTTAAACTTCAAGTAAGTTCCCACGCGCGCACGTCAATTTCGTTTGCTGCTGTTGATGAGATATTTGCAGCAATGCGTGAGGAGATGTTTCTCCTTCTCGGTGGAGCCGTTCTGCAGCACGCTCGAAGATCCGCCGCGCTCGCGAGTGTAGATATCCAGGCCGTATTGACCTGCGATGAAATAAAAAACAATACATATACCTAAGTTTTAATATGTTTGTCATTAATAATTCTGTACCTGTTTGTGATGAGAAAATAAATTCTAATTCTAATTAAAAAAAAGTTAATGATAGCAGTCAGGTTAGGAGTTTTGGCGGGAACTCGACTGGAGGGGTTGCTGCTCTTGTATTATTGTTTAAATAATAGTGTGAAGTGGAATTTGATAAGTAAAAGTGGTGCGATTTTGTGTATTAAATGTCTGCGCATGTAAACTGTTAATGGAAATGGTGAAAACAAGTGCTCCGATGGTGATGTGAACCTCAATATAATGTGTCTGCTTAGGCACCTCGAGATTCTATCGCCATCAACTGTCTGTTGGCTCTAGCTGCCAATATCTCACAAAAACTTCACGATGTCATATTGTGAAGAAACGTGCAAAAAGGGTAATATATTTGTTGTAGTGATAAAATAATCGCGAAGATCGTGAACCAATTTAAGTAGTATAAGAGATCGTTTAAAATTACCTATATGTATGCATGTATAACTAAGTATGTTACCATACCATCGTGAAGTGAGACAACTGTCAGCGTTGTTAAGTTTGCAATTTGTCCGCCATTGTAAGATAGATGTTGTACGTAAATCACCTGTAATAACCTGTGTTTAATAAGCAATAAATCTTATTACAGTTCTAACAATGTTTGGTTTCGATTCACCGACCCAATAATATTATTACTTATTACTGATAAATGTACAGTAGTAAGAATTCATCACCAAAGGAAGAAATAAAGTGAGCGGGAAGCATGACCTTGTCAAGTCGACAGCAAAGCCAGACCTCTCGCGTTGCGTTCGTTGTGTGCAATTATGTTTGCTTACATGGAATTTAAGAGTTATATGTAGCGAGTGGTGACAACGTATCCATCACATTTCGTCTCTAGTGTGTCGTTAGAGGCGGCAATGAGAAACGCCAGAACAATCTTATGGTTTCCAATAAATATCAGTAATCTCGTATATGCCAGTCGCACAATATTCTCCAGAACGAAAATCCGTCACGGCAGAACTATGCAGGACATGATTATAGTGCACGTGTGTGTGAGTGAGCTTAAGTACAGGTGCACTCTTTATTCCGTCACTCTCATAGCTCTATGGGGCGACAATCCGACAACCGTAGAGAAATTTTATTTACACTAATAACTATGAAGAGTCTTGTAGATATTTCAATATAATAAGCCTTGAGGATAGACGTACTCTAATGGACATGGCATTTCTGCATGGTTTATGTAATGGAAGTATTGACTGTGTAACTTTAGCTGATAGAGTTCTCTGCTTTTATACTCCGAAACGTAGAACGAGACAATACACCTTTGTTTGCGGTTGTTAAGACAAAGACAAACTATGCACAAAACTCTCTGGTGAATCGTTTGCAAAAAGTTTATAATAAAAGATTCCACTCAGTTGATATTTTCCATTCCAGTAAGGATAAGTTTAAGAAGGATGTCTTGAAACTTCTGATGTAGTGAATTTAGGTAACTCATTAACTCAACACACACACACACACACACACACACACACACACACACACACACACGCGCACGCACGCACGCGCACACACGCACGCATGCACGCACACGCACGCACGCACACACACACACACACACACACACACACACACACACATGCCCGCGTGCGAAGGAGGCGCATACGAGCATTATATATGATTGCATTCTAGATATTTAAAAATATGTATTTTTAGTCCCAACTACTTTGTCTTCAACATGTCCGTTATAAATTGAAAATACTATTATATAATGTAAATCCGTTTTTGGCTATAATTTAAGATCATAAGATGTACGTACGATGTAACAAAGAGCTGTGGATTTTGTTTGAAAAAAAAAATAGAAACATCAGACATATGACAATACCCTCGGACAATAGCCAAGAATACCAGGCAGGTAGTAGCGTAAAAGGTGCTGGATGTCCGTCGCTGCGATCATCAATTCGACTGCCAAGCGTGACGACGACAAAATATTCCTACACCATTGTAAAGGAAGAGGCTCAAGTCCAGCTGTAGACTTTTACGGGCTGATGATGATGATGAAGAAGCGTTTTGTAACTTCTTTATCGGCCCGTAAATGATTTCAGGGATTTTATCTCGTACTTATTTTAAGACATTTTGGGTGCTTTACAACACTTATGGTAACAGAGGGGACTGAGATGTTACTCGCATCAAAACCCAAAACGTCTTAAATATCGGGGTGTGGCTGTGTCGTGAACACGGCCGTGAGTTTTGCGTGAATTCGTATACGTATCGACTTCAAAATGGCGGCGCTCCATCCTCCACCACGCGCAATACGCACTCAACGTAACGGATTCTACGATCCTTTAGCTATCGAGTGGTGGATGTAAATCATAGATATATATGTAGCTACAATACCAAACTGTATCCTTCAATTTTATTATCATCAGTTTTCTGAATTGCCTTCCACTATGGAACCAAATTTGAAAACGTATCCACGTCAATAAGGTAAAAACGCGATAAAATCTGTAGAATTAGTTTCACACAATGCGACTGGAGAGAGATCAGACGCAGGTTCAACAGCCTTACGTGCTTTTCGAGGCTGACTCCGGGCTGTTTGTGAGAATTTCCTGAGAGAAAACCCAATAAGTGATTTGTCCCGACCCGAGATTCGGACCCGGAACCTTACGATCAGTAATCGCATTTACGACCACTAGACCACGAGGTAGTCAGTATTAGTGATGATATGAAGGACAAGGAAGTGTGTGTTACCTTCTTCGGGGAAAGTGATGTAGAAGGTGACGACGTCGTCCGCGACGGCCTGTTGCACGAACTTGCCGAGCCGCTTCTCGTCGACGCCGTTCTTGTGCAGTGTGGCCATGAAGTCGGCGAGCGGCCGCGACATCCGGAACTGCAGCTCCAGCTCGCGCCCGGCGAACACGAGCGCCTCCTGCGATAGAACATTGCATCTTTTACTTTGTTGCGATGTTATTTTTACTTATTTTTTTAACCTTTTGAGCGCTAAAGTCGCCTATACTTGACAAGCACCTGCGAGCTCTGAGCGCCTACGACGTCTATAGTTGACAAAAAACCCGGCCCACAAAAATATGAAATATAGATATTGGAAAATTATTACTGGTATTTTAATTCTACACTCCTCAAAGAAGAATAACCCAGCCACATGTGAGTATAAAAACCAAGTCTCCTAGAGCCACGAGTACTAACATTGTACTAAAAAAATGGATTTTTATCCAAGCAAATACCACGTTCAGCACGCCAAAGTCGTCTATATTTGACCGCTAGTGTTGTAATGCGTTAGGCATAGATTTATTTAAAACTATTCAAAACTAAACGCAAACGTGTTATTTTTTTAAATTATTATTGATATTTGAATAAAACAAAAGGTAAGAAACATACAACTATCATCAGCTACATAAATAAAAGAAAGTTTCATCAAATCAACTTCGCATAATAAATCTAATATCTCAACTCTGGCGCATCCTTAGCGCGTCATCGATTATCAGTTCATTAGGCGCCGTGGTCAAGGATAGACGACACCCTGATGACGTCATAAACGAATAGCGGAAAAAGTAGTGCAGTGCAACATGAACGATTCCTCAGAACTCATTCGCATTTTGAAAAGCGTCGATGATGATGAATTTTTTTATTTTAATAATATAAAATTACAAATAATAAACGTTTATTTTTTTCTTAAGGGGATATAGTAAGTCAGCTCAAATTCTAATTTCGTCCCCATTTGCCCGCGCGTCGTGTGCTATGTACCGACATGTTTGTAATCACTAATACTGTAAGTAGAAAGGTCGTTAGATACTTATTTCATTAGGTTTATCATATTTATGCCTGTTTCGTAACGCCAAGCCAGTCGCTTCTTATTTTATTACGGTTATTTCCCATTTTAATTTTAAGTCGTCCTGTTGCGTAATGTATATTCTGATCGTAAGCGACACAACCTCCCCCTTCAAAGGCCGAAGCGAAGTGACCGGGCGGCAGGAATCATGCTTCAAGAGGCCGATAGTTTAGGTAATTTATTTTTACAATGAAAATAATGGTATCTAAAAAAAGTAAATAACAAAAGCACTGCTTTATAGTCAGTTCAGTTAGTATGCAAAGTTTCATGATCTTAAAGTATTTTATGAATAACAGCGGTTTATTGTTCAGTTTGGAGCTAACTTTGGATTTTTTTTCTATCGAGAAAATTTTACGGAATCGTGTTTTCGTCTAACATAGTCATTAACATTAATCCTCAACTTTACCATATATTTATTTCAAAATTAATGCTGCAATACTTTCGGCATAACGGAGGATCTTGCTAAGCCATTTGAGATTATATTTCCCCTTAAGATATGACGAGCAATTTTACATTTTATGTTGTGCGATTTTCTTTCTCAATATAGGGTATTGACTGAAACCTCGATTATATTTGCTGATGACATTTCCATTATTATTCCGCATACAAAAGACTAGAATTTAAATAATAAATTGAATCAAGTATTGAACCAGGTTACAAATTGCCTGACACACCACAATCTAGAGATTAATTTTAATAAAACCAAAATTAGCAATTCCACCAGTTCAAGAATCACCACTAAATAATATCGCTTTTACTTATAATAATATACCTATTGGAGACTGTTGACAACTTCAACTTGTTAGAGTGAAACAAATTACAAATACTCAATTAGACCAAATAAAAATAGGCTACTATTGCCGAAATCTAGTCTTGCTTTGCATAGCTCTAGTCCCTACTGTATGGCGGTAAAAATTTTTAATAACCTTCCAAATGACATAATAAATTTAACGAGTACTACATTTTGAATAAAACTAAATTTACGGATTCTATCGCGTTTATTTAACTGATTTTACTTATTTTTAATTCCCGACGTTTCGGGTGCTTTACAGCAACCATGGTCACGGGGGGACTGAGATGTTTGATGTCCCAATGTCATTGTTCAACGTCGTAGTGCAGTGCTGAAACCAAACCTTCCTAAAGACGAATTTACAGCGTTGATTAACTTACGGAACAGACCAGAGGTAACGATTCTCTGCGCGGATAAAGGAAATGCTACGGTAATAATGGACACGTCAGAGTATAATTTTAAAATACTACAGCTTTTATCGGACGAAAGTACATATAAAAAGGTCAAAACGGACCCCACAAATAACACGATTAAAGCAACTAGCGATTTAATAAAGAAATACTCCGAAAAATTAAATCTTGACGTAAATTCGCTAATACCATCATGTACCAAACCACCAATGTTGTATGGGTTACCGAAGATACACAAACTAAACGCTCCACTACGTCCTATAGTGAGCTAGATCGATTCACCAACTTATAAGCTGGCACAACACTTGGCAAAAATACTGTCACCACTGAGAGGACATACCAGAGCACACACAAAGGATTCATACCATTTTGTTAGTGAGATAAAAGACCTACATCTCGCTGACAATGAAACTATGGTCAGTTTTGATGTTTAGTCACTATTCACATGCCTACCTATTGAAGACTGCATATCAATTGTAACTAGGAAGCTAGAAGATAACAACATGCCTGCTGAATATGCAGTATTACTCAAACATTGCCTCACATCTGGCTATCTATTGTGGAAGGAAGAGTTCTACAAGCAAGTATATGGTGTGTGATGGGCTCACCTGTATCTCCCATAGTCGTTGACATATTCATGGAGGACTTCGAAGAGAAAGCCCTTCTTACTGCTCCTGTAAATCCAAGATTCTACAAGCGGTACGTAGACGACACGTTCACAATTTTACCATCTGACAAAATAACTGCATTTTTAAACCACCTTAACTCTATAAACTCTAAAATGCAATTCACAATGGAGTTAGAGGCAAATAATTCTTTAGCTTTCCTAGATGTTTTAGTCATTCGAAATCCTGATAACACTATTGGTCACACTGTGTATAGAAAAAAGACCCATACCAACCGATATTTAAATGGTGAATCTCACCATCATCCTTCACAGTTAGCTACCGTGGGTAAATCTTTGTTTCAGAGAGCACGAGGGATCTGTGACAGAAAACATCTGGCCGCCGAGCTGCAGCACGTCAAGCAAGTTCTGCACGACAACAAGCTTCGGGTCCCGCGCCTACGTCACAGTGACCGAGTGAAGCCGGCCACAGTCGAGCGTGTGCCTGCTGTACTACCGTATGTCAGAGGAGTCACAAACAAGGTTGGCTACATCTTGAGGCGAGCTTCCATTAAAACATACTACAAGCCGCCGAAGAAGATTAGTCAATTTTTACCATCCGTCAAGTATCCCTCTACAAGATGCAGGAGTGTACAAGTTAGATTGTGAATGTGGTCTCTCTTACATAGGTCAAACAAAAAGATCCGACGCTCCACCGATCCACCGACGCTCCGGGAAGTCTGCAGTCTGTGAACATGTTCAAGATCGTCCCCACCATTACATCAGATTTGATAAACCACAAATCCTCGCAAAAGAACACCGACTCCTACCAAGGATGATACGCGAGGCTATTGAAATTAAAAAACATCCTAATTTCAATAGAGCAGATGGTTGGGTGCTGCCATCTGCTTGGGATCCTATAATTAACAAAATTAAATCCAAACCCAAGCATACCACTGCAAGACTTCAAGATACTGTAAGTTCGTTTTGCGTAAATCGGACCAAAAATTAATATTCAAAAATTGAAGGTAGCCGGGCTAACAATGACATTGGGACGTCAAACATCTCAGTGCCCCCCGTGACCATGGTTGCTGTAAAGCACTCGAAACGTCGGGAATTAGAAATAAGTAAAATCAGTTAAATAAACGCGATATAATTCGTAAATTTAGTTTTATTCAATGTGTAGTGTTCGCGTAAATTTAAGAAATCATTATGAGTACCTACTACATTATTTTTATCCAAATTAAAGTTATATTTAATTGAAAAATGTTTCTATAATTTAAATGAATATTTTGGTACAAATGTTATTTAATTTGTGTGGACAACTTCGGCTTGTGCCTATCTAATTTAATTTAATTTTTTTATTCAATTATTATTTTTTACTTATTTTTATTTATAATAATAATTATTATTTTTTTACTTGACATTGTGATTATCAATTTAATTAAATTTACAAGATTTCAAAATAATATAATATAATAATGTAATTTATTAACGAAATCTTCTAGTTTTAAAATAATATTTAATATTTTTATAATTGCTACGCCCAAACTGGGTTCAAATGCGGACTATTTTTTTTAAAAATTCCAAATTCTATTGTTACCATTTGATTGCAATAAAGATTATGATTATGATTATCTCAAAATCATGTAGTAGCATCAGCATCATATCAAACCCCCATTGTCATAAGAGCGTAAGACTTTCTTCTGTGGTTCACTTGGCCTACGCCTCCCCCCGACATATAAAATATTTTGAGTCGATCTCTGTATATTTTGGTTAGATCGATTCCGAAATCGATACACAACGTGCGACACGGCTACATCTCTAAAAAAGTTTCAAAAAGCAAGGTCAGCTACGCCGTTGTCGTCCAGTCGTGATAGTGACGTCATCACGATGAAGAGTAGTGTTGTAGTTTGCTACTATTTTATTGTTATTGTTTATTTTTATTTATGTACAAAGTACATGTATAAAAAGAGTGGAAGACAGCACAAGATTAAATAAAACATACCAGATTATAAAGAGTCATTTATTGCATAAAAAACCAACAAAATCATGTTATTTTGTGTTATCGATTCACTCTTGGCAACACTATTTTTTCGTAGGTATTTTTGTTCAATTTTCGCTTTGGCGTACAGGACACGGTAATGCGTTTTTGGCGTGACGCTCAAAAGGTTATAAGTCACTCTCACTAGGATTTTCTCCTGTATCATGGAGGCAGTTTACATACATAAATTTCTCAAGCATAAATATCCAGAATAAGTATTTGTAAGCCATACAAATACTTGTTAAAGGGGAAGGACCACGCCCTCACAGAATACCAACGTCAAATAGTAGCTTAATTCTGCTGTGTTTGGTATAGTAAGTGTAGAGAATCGAAGACCCTTTTTACTGAAAATGAGACATTCCACCTAAGTCCTCTCGGGTGACAACGCATCTGCATTTTGATTCGTAATCAAAGATACATGTTGATGTCTGTGGGCCACAGCGACCACTTACCATCAGGTGGACTGTGTGCTCGTTTGTCACCCTATCGTATAAAAAAAAATTTGCCACACGGCCCTCGACGTCGCAACTCGACGGTAAGCCACTGCGTCAAGAACACGAAGCGGTCCTATTTGATTCAAATTTAAAAGTTCGTACTGCAAATTCTTTTTTTTTTTTTCATAATTGTTTATTTAGTTCTTGTAATTATTTGGATCCGCTGCAGCCGTATCGCCAATAATCAAAAGCACGAAAGGTGTGGTGTTTTATCATATACCATATAAATCATAAGTTTTTATGTTTTCCACTTTTATATTACCTGGTGAGTGATTGGTACCAAACCGAAGAGCCTGGTTGCCTTTGTGGGTCCCCACTCACCGCTCGCGCAGTCCGGTAGCGGCACCATTACGGTTTGTAGCTCCGCGCAGCAAATCTGGAATATCACAGATAATTTAATTATTTGCGACTTAGGGCCTATTTTTCAATAGTCGGAAGAAAGTTGCTATTAAGATAAAATATTGTCCTGCAGACCGAATTTCGGTCACGGCGGCCTGCCTCAACAGAGACTAGCCATCGGCGCAGGACAGAAAAATAGTGTCCAGGTGTATGTGCACTGTATTATAGTATTTTATCTCTGCACTTTTATCTGTGCACGCACAGGTGCACTCTCTATCCCCTTACTCTCACGGTCCGATGGGACGGTAAACCGACACAACCGGAGAGATCAGGTTCAACGGCTTTACGTGCTTTCCGATGCACGGGGTGAGACACCGCCAACATCTTGACTCCGGGCAATTTCTTTCTTCAATTTCGGGAATTTCTTAATGGAAAACTTAGTAACTGGTATTTTTTTGGCCCGACCCGGGATTCGAACCCTGGATCTCAAAAATATATTAATTATACGAAAATATAAACACAACAAAATGGAGCCAAATATAAAATTACTAACAATTTAAATAAAAATAAACATTTAGTATGTAAATGTATTGACGAGCTTAGGGTTTGTGACAATAAAAACTGCCGATTGAATTACCAAAATTGACCCTTTAATTACCGAACACCAATGAAAACTTAAACACACACTAATAATTAATCACACTGAACACTTTAGTTCGCAGTTATATTGCTTCGAAGTATAAGCTTGTATTGCCAATTCAATACTGACCCGGGTCGCGGTCAATACCAGTTTATATAGGGCCTTTTCTACAGAAACATCTAGAATATTCGAGTACAAACCGGTCCCGACCGACTAGGTGTAGAAAGTTCTAGTTCTAGTATGGGATTTTCTAGAAAGCTCTCCTAGTTCTGCTACTCAATACTAGATGTCGCTATTGGGAAAGTCCTAGTATGGAATTTTCTAGATGACTCCCATATTTCTGCTACTCGATATAGGGGCATTAATTATGTCGTGCAACAGTATTTTTATTTACAGTTTACGCGATGCATTTGAAGTTAATGTGCAATGCAAAAGTGAAATGTCAGTTTGACACCCCTTTTGTGTTATATTAAGTCTTTTCTTGTTCGCATAATACATAGGTGAAAGATAGAGCGAGAGCGAAAGAGGGAGAAGGGGAGAGGGAGAGAAAGGTTGGTGGATGAGTGCGAGTGGTGTGGTGCGTACCTTGAACTTGCAGACGCTCTTGAACTTCATGGGCTCGCCGGTGAGGTACTCGCGCGGCGTGACCGCGTTGGCGAAGATGTCGAGCAGGAAGGCGCCGCTGCACGGCGCGTGCACGCGGAACGACACCGTGCTGCCCACCACCGACTGCGCGCACGCACACACGCACACGTTAATAAAACATTATCTCTATCTTAACATGATCTCTATATATAAAATCAATTGCTGTCCGTTAGTATAGCTAGAACCAGGCCTGTCTCACTCCGCGCTTTAGACACGAAAATATATCTACACTGCACGGCCGCCAACTCTAACTCAGTGACATTGTCACTCAGGCGCTCGAGCTGACGCGCACCTTAGTTTGGTAAAAAAGTATTTTTCTCTTATTAGTATTTGGGCACTTTTGATATTTATTTTTTAGTTTTTATTTAAGTATGGCCACTCAAAAAGCCAAAAGGTACTGCATAGCATACGGGTGCTTAAATAACAATAGAACTGTCGACTTTTCATTCTTTACTGTTCCTAAGAATACCGAAAATTAAGATATCTTTTTGAGAAATTAAGATAAATTATGTATATCTAAATAATTAGATACCTAGTTACAGGCGCCATAGTTACAGATTTATTATATGACTAGCGACCCGACCACAGCTTCGAAGTTTTCGAGTTTTTCGCGTATAATGTCAATGACTTTAAATAATCGCTCAGTGTAAGCACACCTCCTAGTACTAGTTACTGCCTACTAATGCAAGATCAGCATGTACTGGTGAATAGTTAAACACTTGGTCGATAAAAGAAAGAGATTTAAATCAGTAGCACTTCCCATTACCACTCTTTCATTAATAATGTCGTCACATGTTGGTAAATAGCAAAAAATGTGAAACACAAAATGGTAAGTAGGTAAATTATCTGAGTTTCAAAGACGTTCACGTTGTTAGAATCTTAATTTTGCTATATGATGCATATTAACCTTCCTCACATTGAACACTAATGTTCTTATTATCAGACACTCGCTCGCGGAAGTAAGGTTCATTTTGATTTAATACGCGCGCCGCATAAAATTAATTTTCGCCGATTTAATCGGTAAGCTAATTTCACGAAGGTCGCTTCCGAGGTGTGCAAAGTATTACGAACATTAGCGACGTTATAACTAGGTTTAAACTCGCAAGTTTGCTATCAGAGAGTGATCCTTCTGTTCTTATACTATTATTTATTCTGTGATAGACTCAAAAACGGATTAACTTATTTTGATGAATTTGTGTATGTATGTGTATGTATGTGTGTGTTTGTGTGTGTGTGTGTGTGTGTGTGTGTGTGTATGTGTGTGTGTGTGTGTGTGTGTGTATTTGAGTGGGTTCCTGAATGGTTTGGTTTCACGATTGGATCGGGTAGATGGCGCTGTTGTCGAAATTCAGAAATTACCCGTGCGAAGCCGGGGTGGATCACTAGTATTCTATATTATATTGTACTTATTATGCTTAGTTACTGTATTTTAAACAAGCAATGTAAATACTGTTTGAAAAAAATACTACTGCGTAATTACACGATTATATACGAACTTTATCACAGCTTTATTATAAGTTTTGAAAATTTAAGTGAGAATGGTCGTTAACCAACTTTAAATCGTTATAGATCCTAAATGGTCATTCAAAATGAAAAATCACTGAAGGAAACTAAATTTGATTTTTAAAGACCTAATCCATGATACCCTACGAGTACTTAACATAGTTCGTTGACTTTCATTATTTTCTTTTAAACAATATGGCGTCAAGTTGTCGCCATATTGAATTTCGATTACTGACACGCAGTGATGTTTACAGGCTTAACGATAAATCGATTGACGTAAGAATCATCAAAGTCGGTCACATACATATAAAGGCTGATATAAACATCAACCTCCGCAGCCGGGTAGAAACGTGTCGTTTACGCTTACGACCCGCTTTGATATGTTTTTACTACCTGACTAAACTGGTGGGTAATTTTTTTCAGTATTTGTACTTATGTCTATTTCTTTGGCATGTTCTGTAGACTAAACGCCTTGATAGATTTTTATTGTGATGTTGTTAAATTCGTCTTTGTTGTGGAAGCGACAAACGGTTTTCTTTATTAATGATCGAAGCATATGGTTCAATTTTGTTGCATTTAACAATTTTTAACACAATCGGTTTTTTTTTAAATTACTGTTTTAACCATTAAGCTTGTTATTCATCATCTAAACCGTAATATACTGAACAAATTGTACATTGTAATAATAAACGGTACATGCACATCGTATTGGAGGCCAGGCTATGTTTTTGGCATTTCCCATCAACATAGAATTTCTTACGTCCTTAACACAGTGCAAGAAATAAATAAATAAATAAATAAACAGGTATTAACACAATTTAATATATTATGACACAATCCGCTTGCTAAACAAGGCTAGCAGGCAGATTGTGTCAAAATCTTTCTACTATGGGATATATAATAGGGAGATTTTGCCATAATCGGGAATAGAATGCAGATTTAAAAACCTAATAAAAATGTGATTAATTTAGTTATATTGAGACAGACGGTCTGAGTACAGTAGGTCTCTATGTCTTTTACTAGAGTCTAGAGGATGTCCAGTTGACGCAGGATGCAGGATGCCCATATCTCTGGGTATGTACGGTTATAATCACTACACGCACCTGCATGACGAATCTCTTAAGGCTGACGCCATCAAAGCCGTCGCCCTCTGTATCATAGAACTTGAGGTTGTAGTGGAAGATCAGCGAGCTCTGCATGTGTGCCGGCATGGCTATGCGCATAGTCGCCGCACCTGTCGAGTTAAATATAAATTAATGTTAATGACGTCAGATAAACCATATTCCCATGAGATAAACCATATTCCCGTGAGATAAACCATATTCCCGTGAGATAAACCATATTCTCGTGAGATAAACCATATTCCCGTGAGATGTACCATATTCTCATGAGATAAACCATATTCCCGTGAGATAAACCATATTCCCGTGAGATAAATCATATCATCACCTACATAGGTGTCGTAAGAGCCGACGGAGTGAAATTAAACAGGATCTGAGCTGTACCTTCCTGATAACAACTCGAAATACGAAAATATGCGCTTGCCATCGCACCTGACATGCGTGACAAGCATGGCAAATTGGCAAATATCCCATGTTCATTTTAAACAGGCCGCATTATATCATAGTCATGCATATTTTAGCGAAAAGAAAGATATAATAAAGACCAATTAGGCCATGTCAAATTAATATATATGTATTGATTGTAAGCTGATGTCTTTTTAATATATTTTAGGTTACTAAATATTATTTGCTGAATGATTTTATCCGGCAGAGTTGTGTATCGCAATGTTTTCTAACATGAGGTGTAGAAATACGCCTGCGCCTAAGCCTACGCGTACGCCTACGCCTACGTCTACATACACGCGTACGCGTACAACCAAACATCGTATGTTTGTCCTGAGGAGGCCTTACTCTAAGTGTGAATAGTAAATTGAATGACCCAGACCGACGATGGGAAGCGGTGTTAAATGTGCGAGACGTTTGTTAGTGCTGCGTCTGTTAGACGCTGTAGAGTTCTTCCAAACATCACATATTGAAGAAAGTAATTTTTTAGGCTATTAATTACGAGAAGAATTTTTTTTAATTCTAGTCAGAAATCTATGTCTACAATAATTTAATTAGAAACTAGAAATTCGTCCTCACCCGTAGAGTCGGTGTACATGACTGCTTTGGTGTTGGGGTCACTGAAGTAGAGTCCGTAGCGGAAGAATAAGGAGCGCACGAAAGGTAGCTCCTCGAAGTCGTGAAGCGTGATGGGCGTCTTCAGCAACTGCCAATCCGCCTGCAGCGGGAAGAACTCGTAGATGAACTCGCGCGGGTCCGTCAGGAAGTAGTGGTCATCGTACTCGTATCTGGGATGACAATTAATATTATTTACGTCAGTCTCATGTTTGTAATCTACAGGAAAAAAGTAAATCGATGTAATTTCAAACTGTTAGAAACCGTTGCCGAAGAACGAATTGTCCTTATAGGGTCAAGTGTAATTTCAACTAAACAAATTTCTGCAACTCTTCCCGACGAAAGTCATGCCGAAAATTGTTTATCTTTATATTTAATTTTATGTACTTATATCTTGATTCCATTCGTCTTACTAGCTGGCTAGGTAGACGTGGTTCTGCCCTTTCCAACGACCCTTCCTATAAAAAACCCTTAAATAATTGCAATAAAAAATTATTGATGGTCTTGGCTTATGGAGATATAAACTATCCCATCTTTCAAGTTGGACCAAACTGCACACAGTGTGAGTCGTGTGGCACACTAGCGTGACGCGTATAACAATACTAGACGAACGTAATGTGCCACGTTGGCGTGTCTGGAGTGCGCGTACGTGTTCGCGCGTCTTGCGTTTTAATCAAATCTTCTTGATTTTTCCACGATGCAAAACAAAACTACGGAGAGGTTTTTAGCGAAATAATATATTGGTCTGTAGTATGGACTAGTAAGCATGAAAAATTATAAACTTATATATTTATAAAACTTTAAATCCCTCAAAAAAAAAAAAAACATACATGTGCATTTCGCGTAAATATAAGAAATCATTATTATATTATATTTTTCAAAACTTTTGGGGGTATTGACATATTTTATTATACAGTCTACGAAGCGATATACAGTCTACGATATTCACCAAACTGATGCCTGTTTTAATTTAAATCATGAACTTCTAAATTGTTTTGCATTATATCTTGTGCAAGAAAACTACTCTCTTCTAGATACGAAAATGCCATTTTAGAGAACTTCATTTTTTAGCCCGCGCAAAATAGCAGGAAGAAACCAAATGTCATGCAGCCGCCGCAAAGTGACATACTACAGCGGCAAGGCGTACGTCTTCACGCCTCCCACCTCCGCTCACCGCAGTCGCTGTAGCATGGCCAAAGCCTGCAACGCCACCAACAAACAACAAAATAAACGCCAACGCCAACGATGCACACGCATCGCGTTATCCACATTAAGGAGATTAATGTGTCGTTTACATAGCATTCATATGCCGAAGATTATTTGTCCCTATAGGGTTATAGTATATTTCATTATGAGTGCGGAAAGCCTGTCATTGCAAAGAGTTCCGACAAATGTCTACCCGAGCCGAGGCCCAGCCGTAGGTGAGGGTTGACAGTCGAAACAAGTTGCAATGACGGTTCCGCACGTGTACTGAACAACTATTTTTAATACAGTTGCGAAAACCTTGACCATAACGTAGAAGGTTTTAATTTTGCTGAGAGTTCGGAGAAGTATGCCAACATAACATTTTCTGAAAAACTATTTGCCTTTTTTTCTTCTCTCCAAGCAATAAATTCGTCGTATGTAGATATGTAGCGACTTTTTGACTTTTCCGGTAATATGTTCTCCGAAGCATTTTGTGCAATTATACTGAGTTCCAGAGGTGTTAATTCAAATAAAATATTGTTGAAATTACTCATTTTATGCAACAAACAACTAAGCTCGCAAAGAACATATTTGGAAATTGGCGCCAACCGTGAAAGAATATAGATATTTTTTTTTGTTTTCTTCACCCATTCTGGGTAAGCAAAGGGAACTAAGCCCATACAGCCAAGTCTTTAGTGGAATTTTTTTATTGATATGAAATGAAAATGAAATTTAATGAGATGAAATGAAATGAACCTAACCTAACTCATTGAATCAAATCATTAAATCTGATATTGAAACAAATTAGTAGCTTCTTTTTAGAAATATTTGCATGAATCATAAAAACTTCTATGAATTCTTTTTAGTAAAAACTTCGTGGTTGGTTTTTTATTTTTAATATACATTATTTTGACAGTTGGGAAAGAACGCACGAGTTCGGAAAAAGTAAACAAAAAGCTCAAGTATGTAATAGCCCACATCCCGAACTCTACACGTCCCTGCAATACGCCACTTTTAGAGCAACTGTTTTAAAAAATAATAGTCGACCTTTGAACACAAGATTAAGAATCACCTGAGGCTGTCCTGCTTGCCGCGGCTGCCGGGGCGCGGCGCGTCCTTCGCGTTGACAAGGTGGCGCGCGCCCCAGTTGCACTGCACGAAGCGCCACGCACCCGCCACGTACACCGCGTTCCACGAGTTGCGGAACCGGTTGTCCTCGAACCGCACGCCCGGCTGGTAGCCGGCCGACTTACTGTACCCCTTGATCACTACGCAGTGCAGCCCGGCGTAGCTGCGGGGCGGGCACGTGGTTAGGTAAACTGAAGTCGTGAGTCAGACAGTAGCCTAGTAAGAGCACGGACTAAGAATTCTAAATTGTGAGTTTTATTATAGAAGAGCAGACAAATTAGTAAGTTCGTTTCTTAAAAGAAATCGTATTGGTTCGGAAAAATCGCTGGACTAATACGACTCCAAAGTAGAGTTCAAAAACGAGATACAATACGAATCGAAAATATTATAGTGGTTCTTCCCAGGACAGTTTTTTCCAAACTATGCTTGGTGGAGCAACGCTACAGCTATATTATGGTTGTGTCACGAATGGGTCTTTTCGACTGGCTCGAAGAACCATGTTCTCACCGGACACAATCGTAAAATAACAGTTTGTTTTGTTTTTCCTATGGTGAGTGTAGAAAACAAGAGACTCTTTTAAAAGGAAACGAGGAATTTTATTTTAGTCTTCAGGCGTAACAACGCATCCGCATTTTCGTTTCGAGGATCGTTGTAGATGTCTATGGGATACAGCATCCATTTACCATCAGGTGAACTGTGTGCCCGTTCGTCACTTATTCTATTAAATTTTATTCCATGAAAAAAACTGTAGTGCGATTGTATAACCGTGGAATTGCTTGCCTTTGGCTATCACTTCTCTACACTACGAAATATAGCAGAACAAAGCTGTTATTTTACGTTGGTATCTCTAACTGTGAGAAAACCTGCAAAATAAGTGAGGCAGTTACACAATCGCCGATGATTGACGATAAAATTCGATATAATATGAAGTCATATTGTCCATCATCGCGCAGTTATTGATTTCTTTAGGAAAGTTTTTACCACGTTTTGATTAAGTCACTTTCTTGACTGTCTGTCTGTCTATCATTGCGGGTGGAATTTCGCAACTCAAATTTCGAGATCTTCTCGATGAGCTAAACTTGAAATGTTGAACATAGCTCAGAATCTGATAGATGACAATGTAAGAGTATGAAACAACGTAGAAAAAACGTGGTATATTAAATTTTTTAGCACATAAAACACTTATCAATAATATACCTGCACAATCTTTTAAAGAGTACGTGGTAACTTTCGGTGCCGTGCTTGATGCCTCGGAGTAGACCGAGTGGCGAGTCGCCTCTTAGGTTGTCGTCAAACTGTATGTTGTTTAGGTTCTTAACCGTGATCCAGCGGAAGATCGTTCTCGCCTTCTCCACGTCGGTCGCGCACCTGCCTACTAGCTGTCGGACCAGGTCTGTAAACGTTTTTTGGTCTTCTTGTGCCACCTGGAATTTGACGAGTACTTAAATGTTTTTATGTAAATTTCGAGAACATGTGAAGCCACATGCCATTGGTTAGTGTGACGCACTCTTCCCTGTACCAACTCTTTCATTATTTGCAAAGGAAATATTATGTATATACTGATCGGTTAAATTTATCGTTACCGAGCAATGGCAGTGCAATGTATCCACTACTTCATTGTGGGTACTTATCCCGTGGTATCATAAGAGTTGACAGAGAGGAATGAAATCGGAGAAAGGCAACAGAGTCTTCCTAATAACTCCAAGAAAATAAAATAAACTGCGGTAGTCATCTTGAATGCTAATCGTGGCAGCTATTACACATATCCCCCTGTGAGACCATCTAAAGGGGATGTAGATTGTTTATTGTCTATGTTTAGCAGTAGTCTTTGATAGGCTATAATGAATGAATGAAAAAATATGTAAAAATATATAATGAAAGAAAAAAATATGATAGAAATAAATGAAAAAAAGAATCGACATAATGGGATTGTATCAGGCTATTCCATATTGCAGTAGTAGCGGTCTAAGCGTGAAAGCTTTACCAGTTTTATCATGTTAAGTTACGTAAAATTTATTCTCTTTTTTCTTTTTAAAAAAAACGATACCACATTTCTAGAAATATATCTTGTATCGTATAAACGTTATTCATAAATTGCACATAGACAGACACCCAGAATTGAAATAATTATCAAAGGCCCTTCAAATACTTGTTCCGAGATGGAATCGAACCCGCTGTTCGCTACGCTACCGAGCCGTTTCTGTAAATGATATTTTTAGTTGAAGGCTGATATCGTTTGAGATTTATAAAATTACAATACAATATTTTTATCAAATTCCCTGCCTTTATTTGATTTCTGACGTAATGGATTTCACACGTTATCTATCATAGAGGAAGCGGATGCGGTTGTAACGAGGCCGAGCTGGTCCCGATACTGCCATGTTTACTTTTACTGCCATATATCATTAAACCCTTTCAAGTTTGAAGAGTGTAAAAACATGAAAATGGAAAGATAAAAAGTTCAAAACATTGTAAAGTATAACGAGTATAATTTTTAGAAAGAATCTAGAACGAAAGTGTTATTAAATACAAATACAAATTCTTTATTTGCATAAAACACAGATGACAAGGTCTTCAATTAAATATTTATAATGTACGTGTGTTTAGCCTGCTCGCAGACGTGAAAATATTTAGGTATATAACACAAAAACTATCTATAAGTGGTTTCTTTTAAACAATAGAAACAATTTTCCAATAACAATTTCGTTAAATTATTTTTCGAAAGAGGCTCCTTCTTTTTCTTTTAAATTCTTAGGTAATGTGTTATATAATAATACGCTCATGTTATATACATTTCTTTTACACATTTTTTTATGACAGGGAGTTTGATATATTAGGTCTGTATATTTACTTATTAAACGCCTGGTTGTAGTATCTTGGCGGGTTTTAAAATACTTAGGAAATGATTTGACAAAACAGGCTTCTCTGATATATAAACAAGGTAATGGAAGAATATGCCTTATATTTTTTAAAGTAAGGTTTACAACTATCTAAATATCAAATGTTGCTTAAGGCACGGACACATGGTTTTTGAACTAAAAGTGCTCTTTCTACCTCAGCAGAGTTACCCCAAAGCAGGTGTTCGACGTCCTAATGTCACAGTTAGCCGCCGTTACCCACGGATAAAAATTATAAATTTTTGAATAAAACTATATTTACGGATTTTATCGCGTTTAATTAACTATTTTAACGTAATTTTAATTCCCTTCGTATCGGGTGCTTTACAACTCCCATGGTCACGGTGCTGAGATGTTTGACGTCCCAATGTAATAGTTAGTCTGGCTATCTTCAGTTTTTGAATATTAATTTTTGTTCCGATCTACGCAGAACGAGCTTACAGTATCTTGAAGTCTTGCAGTGGTTTGCTTGGGTTGGGGGTTAATTTTTTTATAGAAGAGAGTGCAAACGAGCATGCGGTTCACCTGATGTTAAGTGACTACCGCCGCCCATGATCAACCGCAACACCAGGGGAATTGCAGGTGCGTTGCCGGCCCTTTAGAAAGGAGTAAGCTCTTTTCTAGAAAGTCCCCAGGTCGTCTCGGTCCGGTATCGGTATTTTTGTTAATTATAGGATCCCAAGCAGATGGCAGCACCCATCCATCTTCTCTATTGAAATTAGGATGTTTTTTAATTTCAATAGCCTCGTAGCATATCATCCTTGGTAGGAGTCGGTGTTCTTTTGCGAGGATTTGTGGTTCATCAAATCTGATGTAATGGTGGGGACGATCTTGAACATGTTCACAGACCGCATACTTCCCGGAGCGTCGGTGCTTCACGTCAGCTGTATGTTCTTTCACGCGGGTTTTTATAGATCTTTTTGTTTGATCTATATCAGAGAGACCACATTCAAAATCTAGCTTGTACACTCCTGCATCTTGTACGTCTACCCGAAACGTTGGGAATTAAAAATAAGCTAAAATGTTTAATTAAACGCGATCAACTCCGTAAATATAGTTCCATTCAATGTGTAGTGTTCGCATAAATTTAAGAAATCATTATTAATTTTTGTTCCGATCTATGCAGTATGAACTTATAGTATCTTGAAGTCTTGCAGTTGTATGCTTGGGTTGGGATTTAATTTTATTAATTGTAGGATCTCAAGCAGATGGTAGCACCCAGCCATCTTCTATATAGAAATTAAGATGTTTTTTGATTTTAATAGCCTCGCGAATCATCCTTGGAAGGAATCAGCGAGGATTTGTGGTCCATCAAGTCTGATGTCACTTCATCAGACGACGACGACGACACTTCAAGTGACGGGGGCGATCCAGTACGTGTTCACAGACTGCAGATTTCCCAGTGTCGATTATTCACATCAGCTGTATGTTCTTTAATGCGGGTTTTAATTGATCTTTTTAAGTTTGTCGTATGTAAAAGAGACCACATTCACAATGAAGCTTGTACACTCCTGCATCTTGCAGAGGGTCATTACACGGTAAAAACTGACCAAACTTCTTCGCCGACTTCAAGTATGTTTTAATGGAAGCGCGCTTCAAGATGTAGCCAATCTTGTTAGTGATTCCTTTGACATATGGCAGTACAGCAGGTACACGCTCGACTGTGACCGGCTTCACTCGTTCACTGTGACGTACGCGCGGGACCCCAAGCTTGTTGTTATACAAGTTGCTTGACGTGTTGGAGGTCGGCGGCCAGGTGTTTACTATCATAGATCTTACTATCACAGAAACACGATTTCAGAGAGCACGAAAAATTTCAATCTGTGGGTAAACGCGGTTAACTATGACACTGGGACCTCGAACACTTCAGTCCCCCTTCCGTGACTCTGGGTGCTGTAAAGTGCTCGAAACGTCGAGTACATAAAAAAGTTAGTATTATACTCGATAAAATCCGTAAAAACTAGTTTTATTTAAATGTTATCCATTACGTTTTATTTATAGTTTTATACATTTTAAACGAGTAGTCGTGTAAACGCGTTTCGGTATGATACTTGGATGTTTAGGCAACTTTGTAAATTTAAGTTTACCAGGTAAGTTTAGTAGACAGGTAGTAAAATTGGACTGTTCCATTCAAAACTGAACATCTGGTAAACCTACATCTGCAACAACTTACCGATATCGCGATCTTGTCGACGTCCGCGAACTCTGCAGGGTCAGTGTATATGTGAAATTTAGAGACAAGGGGGGGCTGAGGGGCCGGTGCGCGAGCGGGGTATGGTGGCGCCTCCTCGCCGTCCAGGTATAGGGATGACGCCGCCATGTACTCTGAGCGCCGCTCCTGGATAAGTTCCATCATCTCGTGGCTTTGCTTCTCCACGAGCGCTGCTGTTGCAGCTCTGTACAAAAATGTTTTTTTTAAATATATATTTAGTAGTAAGTAATACTAACACTATAAGTCATCACGAGTGCTCAGCTGAAATAGGCTTAACTAGTATTTAAATACATTACATGGTCTGTCTGTTTTGCAAACGACCGAACAAATGTTAATAATAGGTCCTTACATATGAAATTGACGTTTTGCACGGGAAGAATATAAAGTCAATTTTTTTTTTCGTAAAATATATTTAATTAATCAAAGTATGCACCGTTGTTATCTATGCACATTTGCCATCTCATAGGTAGTTCACCGATCCCTTTACAAAAAAAAAAAAAAACATGGGGCTGAGAATCAATAAACTCTTTGAAGGCGGTTTGGACTCCCGCATCGGAGTTGAATTTTTTTCCTTGTAAGAAGTTGTCCAAATTCGCAAAAAATGGTAATCGGTTAGAGCAAGGTCCGGGGAGTACGGTGGGTGTGACATTCTAATTGTAGCTCATCTAACTTAGTGGTTGTTTGTTGTGCAGTGTGTGGTCTTACGTTGTCGTTAGTAGTTAGTTCTTCCTTCATGGTTTGCAGTTACTGACAATAGATATCTGCCGTAATCGTTTGGCCAGATTTTAGAAAGCTGTAGTGAGCGACATAGGTGCTAGTCCACCAAATACTCACAAGTAACTTTTTCTGAGTCAATTTTCGTTTAGGGCAGGATTTGGCTGGGTCTCCAGGGTTCAGCGATTGCGACGAGCGCTTCCGATTATCGTACAGTATCCACTTTTCATCACAAGTAATGATTCGATTTAAAATCCCTTCATTTTTGTGTCGGTTGAGCAAAGTAACACAGCAGTCGACGCGTGTTTGCAAGTTCGATTCACTCTATTCATGAGGTACCCATCGTTCAATTTTTTTTACTTTTCCGATTTGCTTCAAGAGGATTAATACAGTTTTATCACTTACCCCGAAGCCTGCAGCTATCTCTGAAGTGCTTTGTGATGGATCCGCTTCCACAATAGCCTTTAATTCTTCATTTACCACTTTGGTCTCCGGCCGTCTACGGGGTTGGTTCTGAAGGTCGAATTTTCCAGAACGCAAACGTTGAAACCAAAAACGTACCGTGCTTTCTTTTGCGACACCAGCGCCGTACATATCATTAATCTTTCGGGCTGTTTCTGCAGCACTGGTGCCACGGTAGAACTCGTACTCTTAAATATATCGATATTTCATGTTCATTAATAAGCGACGCCAAAGAAAAAAAAAAATAGGAAAAAACAAATGAATGGCTGTTTTCAAAACTAAAATGTACCAGCTAAATGAATTTATAAATTTGAATTTGAAATTCTTAACCAAAGAGGAGATATTTCAGATATAAGTGGTCAGTTCGACAAAACGCTAATTTCATATGTAAGGACCTAATATTCTAAGATGAGTATTTTAGAATATTATCTAACTTTCATGGAAACGATCATGAAAAACATTTGTAGAGCTACTCTCTTTCTTCTTCACCTTTTTTCCTTTCATCAAAAAGTTTTTATCACGATTTTTTAAAAAGTTATACGATTGTAAACTAACCAATTTTTTTCTAATCTCCGTTTTTACAAATAAGGGGATAAAAGGTTTAAATAATTGACCAAATATTTTTTGACTTTTTTAATAATCGAGATAAATTTTTTTCCAACCAGGATTTATTCTTTCAGATGTCCAGATAATACAAGAATTTTTAAAAAATTTTAAAATATTATTTTTATTTTTCATTATATGTAATAGAAAATATTTTATCTGGTATACTCTCTCTAGCGGCGACACGCGCATGTCGAAAAGGCCTCGTGGAGCCTTATTATCAGTGTTAAATTAAAATTATAAATAATGGAGATAGAGTTTTGGGAAAATTCCTTAAATACTAATAGTTTTTGAGTTATTAATAAAAAACTGGATACGGTTTTTATCATCATATTTTGTTAATACCAATAGCAATTTTTTTCCATGGTAATAGCCCTTAGAATACATTTTTCTAGAGGTCATTCCGAGATCCGAGCGCAATGAGCTATCGCTCATATTTTTAGGGGCTTTATGTCTATTTTTTACGTTTTTAAACTTGTTGACCAGGCTAGTCAACTATCAACCAATTTTGATGTCTCTTTTTTCATTAAATATTTATTCTCTCGTAATAATAGTTAAAGGGGTAGCAAAATAATTTAATTATTATAAAGGTTTACCTTTCATGTTCTAGCATCTTCCTCGTAAGGCTCTCTTTTTTCTTATCCCTTCTTAATGTCATGTTCTTCTCTAGATCGGCTCTCTCCTGTTGGTGACGAAGGGTGAGGGCACCGATTTCCGAGTCAGGTCTTCGCTTCTTCACCTGCATTTCTTGTTGGAACCTCGATGTGAGTCGTTCTAGTTCACGTTCCCATTCATCCTGTGGAACAAAGATTTTAGTAGAAGGTTTATTAAAAAAATATATAAAAATACATCAGTTCGTAACGTTTTGTAGATCACTACAAGTTTGTAAGAGAAGTGATTGATTTGTATTGATTACATTGAATATCTTCCGCTGACTTAGTAATCGGAATACCGGATTTACTTTCGAATCGTTAGAATAGAAAATATTTATTTTATTATTTTATTCAATTTATATATATATATATATATATAATACTTTAAGCTATAGCTTATATAGATACCACTCCTGGACCCTCCTCTCATTTTACCACGCAGTCCCATATTATCATGTTGCGAACTGCATTATGTCTTCGAAATATTTTTTATTTCTCTTTTTTATATTAATATTAATATATTTGATTGCATTATTATATTAGGTTCTTACTAATCACCGAGCACGTGATTAAACTAAAAACTAAAATTTAAATTAACAATTTCATTGTTGCCAGCGGGGATAGAACATGGATTGGTTGTATGAAATTTACGGTGAGCGCTCCTGAGTTACCTCAGCTCTACATAATACTTATTGAATGTCAATTTTTTATTTATCACTGGAAGAACCATAAAGCGACTCACAGAGATTATTTTTTAAGTATAGTAACAGCTTGACAGCCATAACCTAAAATAGGTTCTTTTAACATTCAAAGAGAAACACAGCAGAAGGTGCTTACTGTGGTAGGTATTTTTTATTTTATTTTTAACATTAGATTATTATTATTTAGAGACAATAATCCTTCCGTGTAAATCGATATTTGTTACAGCGCGATAAAAATGTGTACTAACCAGAATAGCAGTGCCATTAATAAAATTGTATGACTGTAGTGATATCTACACTAACTATGGCGGAATGGAACAGTATAAAGCCATGTATTGCATTATTTTGTGTTGTGAACCGGTTGTTGGCAAATGATACAGTTCAAGTATAGTCAAGGTCACAAGGATCTAATGCATGCTTCACACCAGACGAAATAAATAGTATAATTTGATCGGGTAGATTATTAAGTATGTAGTTATGCAACGTACTAAAATGTGATAAGAAATCATTTTTCAACACAGTTGTTTTAGGTTATACATATACATAAGCGAGGACACAGTCTACCTAATATTTATAAACCTTATAAATAATTTATAACGACAGATGGCCTTGCAATAATATTATAGTCAATTAAACATTTCATCTTGCAGTGCCCAAAATTGAGAGATAAAATTTCTTAAAATTAATCCGTACAAATTAGAAGCAAGATCTAAAGAAAACAACCAACATTACATAATTTAGGTACACAAAATGTAAAATATAGTTTATTGAAAAATCGAAAGAGTTGAATTCAATAATTGTTTTAATTAGTACTTCAATTTATAACTTGTGCTTATAATGGTTTTATATGTTTACTTTTAGTTCAGTCTCCAGATTTAATTATAAAAATTTAATATCAATGCCAAATTCCAAATTGGAATTGTATTCCATTCGCAATTTCACTTTGGTTTCCTTAAAACGAAAAAAAAAAACCATGGGACGACACCACACCACGCATATAAAATGGTTTTGCCTACTACATCCTACTACAATTTTTGTATTATATGTAATATTAAATAATATTATATGTAATAATAAAATTATATGGCATTATATGTAACCTATTGACCATTAACTTGCAAATTTTTATAAATTCAAAGTCAAAGATGGGCTGTCTTCCGTAAGCGTTACTTTAATATTTAAGTTTTTAGAGTTTTTTGAGAAACTACGAAAACAATGCTTATAATGGTATAAATATCTCTTCCTAATATGAAACGTTCATTACTAAAGCACGAGGTTGAACAAGAGGTGTGACAAATATCAGGATTTTCGCCTTTGGGTTGCTACTTTATGATATTATATTATTTTAAATAAATAATCGTTGGTGCTTCTATTAGGTGCCGTGTAACTTTTGAACGACTGTACTGATTGAGGTCATATTCTCAAAATATTATAAGTATTTGTTTTGTTGAGACGATATTCCATAGCCATTCTAGAATCCGTTAGGTAAAGCTATAAACAAACTTTCTATTTATGGATCAAAATGACTCATATTAAAAGTATTATAAGTTGGTTTCATACCGAAACAGGCAATCGTAAAATCAAGTGGCGCTGTCAACACGAGTGTGCGGAGTGCAATTAATCGCGCCATCTATTAGAAAGGCTAGAACAACGTCTGCCGAGCCAGCTAGTATTACTCTACAATTGCTAACGCATTTTAACTATGTAATATAGTTTACTGATAATATTAGGAGTAACGGCATTCGTTTGTCTCACTGCAGAACACATGCCTCCACTTATTCCTGAACATTGAAGTACCTACTACTTCCTGAATGGGTTTTAGGAAGGTCGCCGCACTGTCCCAATGCGCGTTGGCAGACTTAGCAGCTCCAAACGCACGTAGTAAATCAGCTCTTAAAATTGTGATTAACAAAAAAACGTTCGAAAATTGAATCGAATACGGTTTGATCACGTATAAAATTTTACTTGAGCGATAAACGCTCGTAACATAACAGCTACTTCGGGTCTGTTAATGTTAACATTTAGTTAAATAATTTATTCTTAATTTAAACTTTAGCATGTTTATTATTTAATGATTTGTTATATTTACGCGAACACTATACATTGATTAAAACTACTTTTACGGATTATATCGCGTTTTATTTATTTTATTTTTAATACCCGACGTTTCGGGTGCTTTTCAGCACCCATGGTCACGGGGGACTGAGGTGACTGACGTCCCGATGTCAAAGTTAACCCGGAAGTACCTTCAGCTTTTTAATTATTGTCTTTGGTCCGATCTACGCAGAATGAACTAACTAATCAATCAATCAATGTTTTTTATTGTTACCACTTCATCGTTATCATCATTCATCATCATTACAACCCTTCACAAGTCCACTGCTGAACATAGGCCTCCCCCAAGTAATGCCACAAAGCACGGTCCAGAGCCACCTGCGTCCATCGACTTCCTGCATGTCTTACTAGGTCGTTACTCCATCTAGAGGGGGGGGGGTCGTCCTACACTACGCTTACAAGGCTGCCACTCTAGTTACCACTTACGAATGCATATTTATATTTGAAATTTTACTGTAAGTATAAAGATACAGGCTGAGAAGAAACTGCACATATAGGAGATATTATGTAAAAAAAGAATAAAACAAAAAAGGGACGCGACGGAAGCGGATTAGTGCATATCTATTACCTGCTTAATATTTCTATTATTTAACGTCAAACTTTGTAAAAAAAACTCTGTTTTTGTATATTACATCACCATATATACGAGTAAATATGTCTCGAGTCTTATTGAAGTTCTAACAATTATACTAACAATAAAAAATAAAACTAAGAACTACAATTATCATGCAGTTCTAATTCCCGCGGCTGATAGTGCCAATAACGCTGACTGCGTTACTTCGCTTAATGGTTCGCTCAAGGGCTAATAATTGAGCGAGAATAGATCCAGCCATCTTTTCATCAGCGACAAAGACAAGTTGCGGATACAGTTCCTTTAGAAATTTCAATAATTGTCTGGTTTTAACTGGTAAAATTTCAATTCAAGCGTAATCGAGTTAAAATATTACATAAACATACATAGTTAAAATATTATACCATTATATACAAGGCTTAGGGTACATTTTTAAACTTACCTGAATTTCATCGCGTATTCTTCGATTTTCTTCTTCACGATGTTTGGAGAATTTCCTGTATAAGTCATCTTCCTCTTGTCGGTGTTTCATCTCCAGTTTAGTTTGTTCATCGCGGTCCTGGAACCAAATAATTAATAAATTGAAATTCATGTTTATAAGAAAGGATTACACTGAGTAAAAAGTATTTATTTCTTTGCATCTACAAAATATACGATTAAAAGAAATAATTCTGCATGGGGCTAATGCCGGCTAATGCGCCAAGTTTATATTCCATTATTTCTATATAATACTCGTTGAGTTTTTAATATCTAAAAATTTTCATCTCTATCTAGGAAATTATTATCTAGCGTAACAATATATTATAATATCGCAATAACGAGCAGCTTGCTTGCAGCGTAAACTTATCCTAACATAGAACCGTTAAAGATATGAAGAATAACAAATGCCAAATTGGTTCCAGAATTTATTACCCGTAACAGTTAGCTACTCGACATAAGCCTATCTAGATAGATTCATGGGTATGGACTGTAGAGGTAAGGAGTACAGACTGTGTATTAAAAAGTGTCCATAGAAAACCGTTAAATAAGGGTGGCGCTACTATAGCTACGTGGTAAATTTTAAAGAACGCGCCGAAAAATATTAGTGGAATAGACGAATTTTTCGAGGTTTTATTTACTAAACAAAATTATTTTAGATTTTAGAGCTACTGAGCAGTTTAGCAGCACACTTCACACCGTCGACAACTGCTAAGCTCATTTCATGTAGCTGTTTCCTGTAGCTACTCCAGCGCTGTTGTGGAGAGTTTTTGAACTGTTATTTATTGCTTACAGATGGACACTTTTTCAACTATTATCCTATGAGAGATTGTTCTCCTTACCTCTACACTCCATACTCATGGGCCTCAGGGACTTATTTGCCATAGACATCGATATATAAATATATATATATATCATCATCATCATTACAGCCCTTCACAAGTCCACTGCTGAACATAGGCCTCCCCCAAGTTATGCCACAAAGCACGGTCCTGAGCCACCTGCATCCATCGACTTCCTGCATGTCTTACCAGGTCGTCACTCCATCTAGTGGGGGGTCGTCCTACACTACGCCTACCGGTACGAGGCTGCCACTCGAGAACCTTTCTTCCTCATCGGTTATCGGTTCTTCGAGCTATATGGCCGGCCCATTGCCACTTCAGCTTACTAATCCGTTGGGCTATGTCGGTCACTCTGGTTTCACTGCGGATATCCTCATTTCTGAGTCTATCACGCAGTGAAACTCCGAGCATAGCCCTCTCCATAGCTCGCTGAGCAACCTTGAGCGTCCTCATACGGCCAGCGGTGAAGGACCACGTCTCAGATCCGTAAGTCATCACTGGCAACACGCACTGGTTATATACTTTAGTTTTCAGAGATTGAGGTATACCTGACAAGAAGATGTGTCGTAATTTCCCGAACGCTGCCCAGCCGAGTTGAATCCGTCGATTGACCTCTCGGTCGAAGTTGGACTTACCTAGTCGGACTATTTGTCCCAGGTAAACGTACTCGTCAACAACTTCGAGCATAGTGCTCCCAACAACTACCGGCATAGGTGTGACATGAACATTAAACATGATCTTTGTTTTGTCCATGTTCATCTTAAGACCTATCCGTTGGGAGACACCATTGAGGTCATTGAGCATAGTGCTAAGGTCCTCCAGCGATTCTGCCATAAGGACTATATCGTCGGCAAATCGAAGGTGAGTGATGTACTCGCCATTGATGTTAATACCGTATCCTTTCCAGTCCAGTAGCTTGAAAACGTCTTCCAACGCGGCGGTGAAGAGTTTCGGGGATATAACATCACCCTGTCTTACACCTCTCTGCAGTTGGATAGGTTTCGTACTCTGGTTCTGTACTCAGATAGCCATCGTACCCCTACTGTACAAACACTTCAGCACTTCAATATACCGATAGTCAACTAGGCACCGCTGAAGAGACTGTAGCACAGCCCAAATTTCGACGGAATCAAAGGCTTTCTCATAGTCCACATACGCCAGGCAAAGTGGCAGATTGTACTCTTCGAACTTCTGTACAATTTGCCGAAGGGTATGTATGTGGTCTATGGTACTGAAGCCTTTTCGGAAACCGGCTTGTTCGGGAGGCTGGAAGTCGTCGAGTCTGTGTGCGAGACGATTCGTAATGACTCTCGAAAACAGCACGTAGACGCGGCTCAGAAGGGAAATCAGTCTTTAGTTCTTCAAGAGAGCGTTGTCGCCTTTCTTAAAGAACAAGACCACCACGCTTCTGCTCCACGCCTCCGGAGTAGTGCCACCATAGAGGACGGAATTGAAGAGCTTCTGAAGGACTTCAAGTACCGGTGTTCCACCCGCTTTCAGAAGCTCCGCTGTAATTCCATCCTCGCCCGGGGCCTTGCCGTTTTTAAGGTGGTGGAGAGCCATTCTAATCTCGCTCAGACTGACGTCCGGGATATCATCGGAATAGTGTCGGATAAGACTTGCTCTTGGATCGTTACTCACACTTGCGTGTGGCTCCAACGATGATGTGTACAGCTGCCCATAGAACCTCTCAATCTCACTCAGAATCTCAGGTGTCCCGGAAACGATGTTGCCACACTCAGTCTTCAGCCTTGACATCTTTCTCCATAAAGTCACTCTTTCTCCATAAAGTCGGCCAGCTGCTGGCCCCTTCGGTTCCGTTGCCCTACTCCAAATTTCCCAACCTTCAGCTCACCGCTTTCTCTTGTGCCTAGTTTTGCGTTGAAGTCTCCCATCAACACCGTGTAGTGGGTTTTGGAGGAATGCATGGCTCTGGAAATATCCTCATACATTTCCTCCACCCTCGTCGACACACTTCCAATCTTTACAACGTTGTTGACGAGAGACTTGTGGACGATAAATCCGACACCTCCTTGGGACAGATGGTCGCCCTCCCGGTGATAGAACAAGTTGCCGGACTCGAGGATTGCCGTGTCCTCCCCCTCTCTTCGGACCTCGGATAATCCAATAATATGCCAGCGCAACTTGGCTACCTCTTCTTCCAGCTCCAGTATCTTCTCGTCAGTCCTCAGGGTGCGTGCGTTATATGTTGCCAGGTCGAGTCGTCGTAGGTGGCAACCGAACCTCCACCGGAGATTCTTAGCACCCCCTGCCCCGCCGTTACCATGGTCGCCACCGTAGCCAGGAATAGCGGGGCCGCCGGGGACTGGGGGCCGTTTTTTTGCGTCGTTATTCATGGGGGGATATTTGCCATAGTTGCCACGTTTGGCGAGCGGGTTGGCAACCGCAGTTTTTTATTATAACACAGTTGTTATCAGGAAGATGCTGCTGCCCATCTCCTGCCTGTCTCCCTCTGTCGCCTCAAATGAACTGTACTGCAATCCGTACACATGTTATTATGGCTTCATATTCATGCAGTGCGGAGCGGCGCTAATAATAATTTTATATTAAATTAGCACGTATGCAAAATAAAAGAAAATTAAAAAAAATGTACTCGATTAACAATTCAATCTAAATAATAAACAATTATTATAACTATGACTATTTTCGCGCGTTTATATCAACTGCGCATGCGCGACTCTACAGCCTCCCGCGCATGCGCGAAGACAGAATAGTGCACATTTTTTTGTTTGCAATAGCTTCTCTAGTACGTAGTACATATGACTCAATAGCCATAGATGCCACGCTGCGAAGCCTTGTCGATGTAGGCGGATTGACAAACGCAATTTTTTGAAGCGAAAATTTCTTTCGAATTCTTGTGCTTTGAAACTTGATGAAATGAAAAAGCGACAAAAGAGACAATCACAAACATTTATAGGTTTTAGCCTGCTAGAGAATGAGATAGAATATAGTATTCAGTAATTCCTATTATCTCGTCTACTCTTTGTGCTTCTTCTAAAGATGAATAGTATAACTTTATAAAAAAACCAAATTTATTGAATAAATAAAATTAACCATATTGAATAACTTTCTAATTTACATTAAATTAGTCGTGTTTAGGCCATTTAGCCTTTATTTAACTACCTTTAGAGTCCATTATTAATTTTGATAGATAAAATGACTTTACCTGTAGAAGGAGTTAGATAGTGATTTACCATTGAGTTATAATGTACTACGTACTAGAGAAGCTATTCCAAACAAAAATTGTGCGCTACTTCTATGTCTTCGCGCATGCGCGGTAATAGTAGAGTCGCGCATGCGCAGTTGGTATAAACGCGCTTTGCGCTTGCGCGGTCAGTTTTTGTTATTATAGATTATACGTAAGTAGAATGGTCAGTATGTAATAATTGTTTATTTATATTGTATTGTTAATTATATCGAGTACTTACAATTTTTTAAATTGTTTTTTATTTTGTATATGTGCTAATTTAATATAATATTACATAATATTATGTCAGAATTACATTTTGATGATATTGTTATCTGAATATTTTAAAAGGTATCTATGTCAAATATAAAAAAACGTACTAAATGTATGTTTAACAAAACTTATTAACATAAAATTTAAATTACAAATATATTTATTTAAATTAGAATCATAAATGCTGTAAATAATCGTTCATAAATGCTGGGCACGCGAGAGTTAAAAATGGACAAATTTATTCCACTTTGACTTTGAAGTGGAAACCTAAAAATAAAATAAAAGAATAATAAGCAGATTTAAACATGAAAAATTTAGCTTAATTATAATAACTTATATGTTTCTACAAAAAAAATGTGTAGTATAATAATATATTCGTCCTAAACTTAAGTACCCACAGAAATGTCGCATCTGAACATATTAATTTCATAATCTATATTCAATGATACGAGATGGCGTCTTAGGAATAATTTGCTTTATTATTAATTTATAATACTTTTTTATTGAATAAGTATCTTATTAACCGATGAAAAGTAATTCCTTGGTTTTTACTGACATTTCTTGAATTATTTGTGCAATATCTAAGTACACAAGACGGCATATTTTTATCAAGAGATTTTTTTTTTAAATCAACACAACACGTGACAACTCTACAAGCGCCTAGCGAGTGACTGATTAAAGTGCAGTGCATGCACCGCAGTTGAGTGGAACAGAGTAGCTGAATGCAGTGTCTCCTCTAGTACGTAGTACATAATAGCTCAATGTGATTTACAAAGCAATTTTACTCGCAAT